TATCTAGTGGTGTGGTCCAGACGGTGGCTGGTGAGGTGCACAGAGTTATGTGCACAGTATTGTTCTTTATGAACAGTTGGTTAGTTTTTTTTTGTCTAGGGTGTTTGAGATCCGGCGTTTTCCCATGATGCCTCGGTCTTCATACCCATGATTTGTGTCTGCTTTTTTGATGACTTGCCTGCTCGCGCCATGGATGGGCTGCTGGACAGAACGTGCTCTGAGCGTTATGCACATCGATAGGCTGTTGCTCGTCCGCGATTGGCGCACGGAGAACCCTGCAGTGACCGTACACACGTGCGTTCTTGTGCCGCCAGGTGACGGCGCAGCAGGGCGACCAGACGGTGGAGGGCGAGTACAACACGGTGCTCTTCGCCATCGGGCGGTACGCCTGCACACAAAACATCGGTCTCGAGAAGGTCAAGGTGGAGCTGTCGCCCAAGTACGTACCCCGGCTGCGGGCTGACTCCGACCACGGCGCTTGCGGCAGCGGGCCGGGATGACGTCCGCGGATTTTTTCAAACAAGATTAACTTTTGGGCGCGGTGTATGGGCTCAGTTCTCTTCGTTGAGTATCGTTCGGTGATTAACGTGCACCAGCTGTTCATTGCCCACATGCATTACAAACAAGACAGACTCGGATTTGTTCTCATCTGTATCTCTGCGGCCGTTAGTTGGTTCGCTCTCTTCCGTTCGGTTTTGGCGTTGGCTGCGGTGCGCCGTCGGCCGGCGCCCGAGGCCGTGTCGCCGCCGCGTGCCGGCGCTGAGCTCGCCCCGGCCGCCGCCAGGGACGGCAAGGTGGTGTGCACGAACGCGGAGCAGTCGAGCGTACCACACATATACGCCATCGGAGACGTGGTCAGCGGGCGGCCCGAGCTGACGCCCGTCGCCATCCAGGCCGGCCGGCTGCTGGCCAGGGTAAGCTGACGATGCGCACGACGGCGTCGCGGCCGGCTGCCAGATCCACTCGTGTGGAGCGCGCTTCTACCCCGGTTTAGAATACCTGGCCCCGGCTCAGCACGTGGCAGCAGTGGCGCTCTGGACAGGAGACCGATGGAGGACCGGCAACGAGCCGAGGTTCAAACCACCACGGGGCCGTCAGTCCTGGGCCCGTTGTCATGTATTGGTGTTTTACGTTGTGCCGACTGCAGTGGTCATTTTGCGCTCATTATCCTGGGCCCGCGCAGACGCTGTATCTGCCTTTCCTACGGCCGTATTGTGTGGTTGCTTCGCCAGCGTGTCCAGGACGTCACGTCCCTGTTCTTTCCGGTGCCGCGCGTGTCCGTCGGCCTTCGCCACCCGCCTAGCGCAGCCGTCACCTTCGCTGCCCGACCCTGGGAATGAGCCGCCGCCGCCGCCGGCAGCGCATCATCAACGAGGCGTCCATCCTGACCGATTATGACAACGTGCCCACCACGGTGTTCACGCCGATGGAGTACGGTTGCATCGGGCTCTCGGAGGAGGACGCCGTCAGCCGGTTCGGCGCCGACGACATTGAGGTGTACCACCAGTACTTCACGGCGCTGGAGCACACCGTGGCCGAGCGCGACGACAACGGCTGCTACGGCAAGCTGGTCTGCCGCATCAGTCAGGAGGTGGGCCTCGCGTTGTTCAGGAGGGAGGAGGGGGGGGGGGCTTGACTGGACTGGACTGGACTGGGCTGGGCTGGGCTGGGCTGGACTGGACTGGACTGGGCTGGACTGGGACTGGACTGGACTGGACTGGACTGGACTGGACTGGGACTGGACTGGACTGGACTGGGACTGGACTGGGACTGGACTGGACTGGACTGGACTGGGCTGGGCTGGGCTGGGCTGGGCTGGGCTGGGCTGGGCTGGGCTGGGCTGGGCTGGGCTGGGCTGGGCTGGGCTGGGCTGGGCTGGGCTGGGCTGGGCTGGGCTGGGCTGGCCTGGCCTGGCCTGGCCTGGCCTGGCCTGACTGGGGTGGGGGCATGACCAGGGCGCCGCGGTGCCTGATGCGCTTGGTGTGAATGTAGTTATTTTTATTTGTATTTTAGGACACGCCGGGCTGACATTTTTCTGGATGAACGAACCGGTAGATTTCGGGCTGGGATTTATCCTCGTGATCAATGTTTCCTCTGAGGCTGCCGGCTTCACACCTTCCCATCTCCACCGTCGCGTGCCAGGGCCAGTGATCGGCGTCTGCGCCTGCTCATGTACGCGCGGCGAGGAGACGCGGGTTCCTGAAGGGCTTCGGGCGCCATCTCGGCCCCACCTCGGGCGCGATGTCGGCTCACCCGCGCCCCACCTCGTTCTCTCCGCCCGCAGTACAAGGTGGTCGGCTTCCACGTGGTGGGGCCGAACGCCGGTGAGATCACCCAGGGCTACGCCGTGGCCATGCGGCTGGGCGCGCGCAAGTGGGACTTTGACGCCACCATCGGCATCCATCCGACGGTCAGCGAGGTCAGTAGCCGGCTGTGACGGCGGGCTCGCCCCGGCCGCACGCGGGCCGACCCGGCGCCGTCCGCCGAAGTCCGCGCGGCGTGTACGCTGTAGTGGTGCGGTGAAGACCCGTGCAGACGTGGATGCGACAGTCCGCCCGACTGCAGACGCTGGCCTCCATCACGCCGCTTCGCCTCGCGTTGTTGTAGGACACTGTTGTCCTGTTTTGTGAGGTTGGGAAAGGTATCGTAATCGGGTGTATTCAAGGTTTGAAGGTACACACGTGTTACAAGCATGAAAGTCTCTGAATCTCGGGTTTCTGGGTACGTCTTGTTGAAAAGGCTGGTTACGTTTGGCGGGTGGCAGAGACGCAAGGGGTCTCTGGGCAGTACGCGTAGAACGGTGCCAATATAGGTTACAGCGGGTGTCTGTGGGGCGGCCGGTAAGCGACACTTGGCTTGTTTTGTATGCCAGTATCTCAGAAGCTTGAATAAAAATGCAAATTCGTGGCGTATGTTACGCAACCACAGTGATGCTTTGAGAACCGTAAGACAAACACTGCAGGTTAGCAGAAAATGCATCGTAAAGTGTAAACGCGGCGCAAATCATGGTTTATCCAGTATATACTGGAACTGATTTGCAGGCATCTTGAGCACAAAAATCAGCCGATAGTGGAGCACTCATTTTTGATATATTAATGAGCAGATCTTGGAGAGCAAGGTCATTGACAGCTCTAACCTGACGTGTGCAGAGTTAAGTGGTTGCGGTCTGATGGAGGGGGACTCGAGACTCGTCTGCCCCACATTTCGTTACTATCGGTTGAATGGCTTAGGATACACCATCGAAGCATATTTTCACCCTGGCGAGGGATGGTAACCAGTTTGAGCGTTTTAATAATGCGTACTACCCTGTCCATAAAGCCTTGGACGCGACTCGGTCCAGGGCACGCGCTTCATCTTGGACGCCTGTCGGAGGCATGGCTTGTCCGTACCTGGGGCTCTGCTTTATACGACGGCTCTGCGTTGGGCCAGCCCGAAGTACATTGTGAACGGGTACGGGGTGGGACTGTGCAGGTCGAGTCGGGAAAGCGCCGCATTTTCAGACTGCTGTGCATTGTGAGTGTCGCCGGCCCATCTCGCGCATTGATTGCCTCACACTGAAGCTGATCGCCGCGGCGGCTTGCGCTTCCCGTGTCTCCGATCGGCCCCGCTCTCGCTCTGACCGGGCTCCTCCGTTCCGCAGAACTTCACCACGATGAACACGACCAAGTCGTCGGGCGCCGACAGCAAGTCGGCTGGCTGCTGAGGCTAGAGTGGCTACTCGCCCGGCCTGGCCGCCGGCCGGGCCGGGCGGGTAGCGTAACCGGGGTGCACGGGTCGCCGCCGGGCGCCAGCGCGCGCCGTATGACGGCGCGGCCCCAGCCCTGCGTGTCAGGAGGGCCGCGCCTGAGGAGGGCGGCGCCCGTCACCCCCACCGCCGGCACCAGCACCACACCTTCGCTCAGGATCGGAAATCGCCGCACGTCCTGCCACCTGGCGAACTCGTCCGCAGTTTCACCTGCCGCGGACGGCCGCTAGGCGGATGCGTCGCACGGACGAGACTGTCCTCTCGGGCCCGTCGTTCAACGCGCGTCCTCCGAGTTGAGCCGTCCAGAATGCGTCTCGAGCCCCGCTGTCCGAGGAGGGATCTAACTCGTCGCACGAGACGGAGTCGGCTGTAGTTTTGATTCAACTTGTCTGCGGTCAGGCGCTAGGTGAATTACTGGTCAGTACAGCCTCACGCGACTTTGTACTCGGGCACGGTCTAGTGAGGGGCACACTGTCCTGTGGTCACACTCGTGATTTTCCTGTCATTTTACCTGACCGATCTGGGAACACTGGTATTGCATAATGATCGATGTGCGTGTGTGTGTTATCACTTCCTTGCCTACTGGCTCGATCTTGGACCAGAGCGTACTGCCGCCAGTTACCACGAACAACGGGGGTGCCTTGCCGTGGGTTGCTGCAACCTCGGAGCCAGCGCTGTATACTCAGCCGGTGTGGGGGCTGCGCGCACGCCTCCTGCGGGCGCCGCCGACCGTCAGCGCACCCTGGTGTTGCTCCCTGCCGCCGACTGTCGACCCCCTCGCCGCTGTGGACGGCGCTGGCACGGCACGCCGGCACGTACAGACACCCGGCCTAGAGCTGTCCTACTTGTTCTGTTTTACTGACTGGTTTCACGAATAAAATTTGATAAGAAAATGTATCTCACATCTGTTGGCGCGGTGGTCATCGACCAAGCAGAGGTCTCACAACGCCAGACGGCCAGCGTTACGCATGAAACCGAGGTCAGTGTCCTGACAGCTTCAAAACGGTCTACGGCCCAAACCCGTAGCACTGCTGAACGGGTGGCGTGTCGCTCTGCAATCTGCATTCAACAGCACTCTAGGCCTCGGGGCGCAGCACGGGTAACAGCCGTCTTACGAACCTGGGCCGGAGGCCCAGCGCACAACAGCGCGGTGCCGTGATGCACTTCCATGCAAGACCCCAACCCGCGATGCGGCAAGCTCGCCCACGCGTGAGACCAGCCGCCAACACAGATGATATGCCATTCCCCTTCCCGGGGTGCGCCACGCACCACTGACACTTCCACTCGCGGTGGGCAGCGGCGGCCGCGGGGCCAAAGCCGCTCAGCGTCCGTCCGCCCGCCTCCGCCTGCCGTGCCTCCAGGGTCCGCCTGTTGAAGTTCTGGCGTCCACCTGCTCAGTCTCTGGCGTCCACCTGCCGAGCTTCTGGCGTCCGCCTGCCGTGCCTCCTGGGTCCGCCTGCTGAGCCTCTGGCGTCCGCCTGCTGAACCTCTGGCGTCCGCCCGCCGACTGCCACTCGCTGCTGGAGCTATGTACGTCACGCACAGAAGTAGCGCTTGGGCGCGGCCTCGACCGCTGGCTGGCCGTGTACGTGCACCACGCAAGGAGTGCCTAGCAGCTGGGAGCAGAGCGTGAGCGCAGCGGTGACGCGGTCAGCCGCGTCGGCGGGCACGCGGAGCTTGCCCCGGCAGCGGGCCGGCTCGTACGAGACCACCTCTAGTGGAACAGATGCCCCAAACTGTGGACACCAACCAGCACTTGTCAGTGCCAGTGAACAATGTGAGGCATGGCACAGCTGATGGGACAAGGGGAATCAGCTGCTTTGTTGCTCCAGTTGAGCTAGAAGTGACATTTTAGTGGTCAATCTCTGACACCTCACATAAACATCATATTTAATGTTACCATTTTGCATGTGTTCATTCAACCCTAGGTAAACCATGGCTGGAAATGTTGACATCAGTCAGGTATGAAGGTGAAGCACAAAAAATCATCAAGATGATACAAATTGCTACCAATCAGGAACCTAGAGAAGAGAAATAAGGAAAGTCATATATACTGACCTCCCCAAACAGGGATCTCATTGCCTCCCTGATACCATATTCAAAATAATCAGCATTTGAGCAGTCAGCTGGAGAGGGTCCAATCCATTCTCTGTAAGGAAAAATTATGGTCAACAAAGCTGTGGGGGTTTACAATTCAAATATATTGATCATGATGTGGTTCACAGAAAACCGCCATACACAAATGCATAAACAAAAGCTAGATATTTGGATGCTGCTTTTCAACTGAGTAAGGAGCCACATGGAAGCAGCAAGTCATGAGCTGCATGCATTCAAGCATCAAAGTAAGCTTAATGTACTTAAATGGGATATGAGGATGAATATAATATTGTCACTGCTTGCTGTATGTACTTAACATTACATGTTGCATGCACAGTACATGTGCATTTTTAGTTAATGCTCAGCAAGCAAGTCATGTGCAGCTTGACCAAGGGGCACACTACCTTGCCCCCCTTCCCAGGAACCTGCCCCCTCCCCTTTGGTAACAGTGAGCACTCCAGCAGCATTATATCCAGCCTGCCAGTGTCTTACCCAAACCATCAGTCTACCTCCATCTCCCGAGCAAGAGCAGACCATCACCAGTGTCAGGTTGTGGCAGTACACTAGGAGTAAGTGCAAAATAGCATAGGCATCACAACGGGTGTGATGGCTAGGCAGTCCAGTGGCCTTCCCATTTCGCAAAATTTCGATGCCAGTCTGGGTGGTATATGGTAAAAACTAACTTCACACCCGGCCCCCGCTACACCACATCTTGAAATGTTCCCACAGCCCTGCAGACTAAGCACCTGCTAGCGCACCCACATGAATCATTTGATGATATTTGTCTTACATTGTGGGTTCGATGATAACATATTCATTCGGCTTGGACTTTCCCATACCCGCGCATGAACATTCCACCCCGGTCCCCCTCAACACATGTACGTGCCACGGCTTTCAGCCCGTGCAGCCGCATCCTGATTAAAAAAGGTCCTACTGAAACATCTGCGCCACTTTCAGTCTGACAAAAGGCTGCCAAATTTATAATATTGTTATATCCATGCTTCGCTACGTAAATAGTTAATTATCAGACATCACATTATGAGTGATCCAGAACTGCATACTCTAATCTGCCCAAACCCACTGGGGTCTGGGCCTTGGGCGCAAGCGAGATATTGCGATGGGGACACAACTCCTAGAGTTTCACAGGAAACTAGCTCTACTGCACCGCAAGCGCACGGAGCTTAGTTTTCAACCTTAGCGCGAATTCCTTGTTTGGCGTGAAAGAACAGCACATGTTCTCAATCCAACAGCATCACTTGCTCTCGTTCATCGCAGCATGGCATATTCTCAATATTCTTGTTGAACGTGGCCTTCTGGAATTTCTTGCTCTCAGCACACGTTCACGTACACATAAAATGCATGCCATAATAGCCTTGATAGGAGGGCGAGTATGTCATAGGTGCATGTTTCCCAGGTGGCTATTATGTAAGCACCCTCCTAGTCCGGGCTCACCGACCCCAGCGGCGGTTACGATCATTGTATACAACTGCACATAGATATAGAGTGAAGCTCCGGTCAGCAGTGCTAAATACAGCACAAAATGTCTCATATTTCGCGCGATGCATTTCAGTGAGGAAAGGAGCGCATCGTCATTTCTTACAACATATTGGCCACAGCAATGCAGCTTGAGGTATTTCGCCCATATTTCTGTTTAGGCTAAGCGTGCGCAAAATGAAACGCAGCATAACAGCCGACATAATCGGCTACAGTTGGTTTGAAATAACTTCAAACATTCTTCAAATGCTATCAAGTTTTCCAACGTATATCGTTATGCCCGACCTTAACGTACATGGCTATACCCGACCTTTACGCACATGGCTATACCTGGCCTTACAATCAGCGGACAGTCCCATGTCAGCTAGCAAAGTCGGAAGCTGACGGCCACCATATCCGAAATACACGCTCCAGCTATATTGTGGCGTCGATGGAATATGCAAAACACGACTTGGTATTGGTGGTTGTTACTGCCACTAACATGACGCGCTGCTCAATCTCTCCTGGATGACAGCACAAGCCAGACATTTAAAAGGCTGAACAAGCATGCCAAAGTCATTACTCATCACAAACACATACATAGCCTGCTGGTTGATTGCTCTGAGCACAAGTAAAATATTTGTAAGGTGTCAAAGAACACCCCTGTGCTAGCCAGTGAATGTTTGCGCAGTTTGGCGAGCGCCGCTTAGAGGCGCCCGCATTGTTCTCCTGGCTGGCGCCCGTGCGAAGGACGCGGCCAAGGGGGGGGGGGGGGGCAAGAAAGGAGGCGGTAATAAGGGGAAGATTCTGAGAGCCTCCCGGCGCGGGGATGGACATGTCGGCAGGACGCACTGTGATGAGTGCCTGTGAGAAGTATCAAATACAGAAGTGACTTTGGACGTACCATGGGTACCAGTGAGCCGGAGGTGAGACACGGAATAGCAAAACTTACATATTTGTAAAGGATGAACAAGCATGTCAAAGTCATTATTTATCAAATATCACATATCATTTGTATGTACACACCTCACAGTTTGCCGCGTACGATGCGACTCGAATGCGTCACACATCAGACAAGCATTGTCAGCAACGGACGCTGAGCGCTTCGCCGAAACCTAGAAACACTTGCCGTTTATTTCCCCGGCGCACACGAAGTCCTTGATGTTGAAAAACTTGACCTTGCCCGTTTCAAGGGCAGCCGTCTCGAAGCCCTCCCAGTCGGCCGGGTACAGGCGCACAATGCCATAGATCTTCCGTGCCGTTGACACGAACACCTTGGTGGCCTTCCTGGCGAACTGAGCTGCACAGTAGAAGTAGCTCATGTCTGCGTCCGGGTCGAAGATCTCCACGTGGAACAGGCGGCAGCCGCTGGCGAACCAGACGCGTTTCAGATCGTCGTCGGGCTTCTCCGAGAGCGTGACCGAGATGGCGGCGCGGGAGCAGGGCAACGTCTCGGGCACCTCCGTCTTCCAGATGCACGAGATAGCTTTGTGGCGGTCAGTCATCATGCTCTTGAAGGTGACGCTCCGTTCGAAGTGCACTTGATCCGCGCGAACGTCCTGATTGCACTTTGGCGGTTGCGGCTTGAGGTCGCTGCACTTTTTGAGCGGGCAGCCGTACTCGCGGTTGACGAGGGCCGCGTCGCTGTCGGACGGCTTGGTCCAATCGGTCCCAATGGCAGAAGACAGCACCAGCCCGTCCACTTTCTTGTCCTCTGATCTGCCAAGGAAGACACTCTCGCCGTTGTAGCTCAGCCCGTACATGTCGTAGTGCATGACGGACCGGTAGTCGTACGGGCACTTGTCGTAATCCTTATAGTTGAGGAACAGGACATCCTCCAGCGCTGTGTTGTGGAACTGGATGTGCAGGAAACGGTCACGGTCGGGCCTGGAGTGCTGATGCACCAGTCCTATCACGTGTCCAAGCAGGTGGACCACTGTGCCCTTGTCACATATCTCGGAGACGGACATTTGCATGTTCTTGGAGTGGTACCCTACCTGGGCGTAACAGCCAGTGCCTTGGAAAATGCGCAGCACGTTCCCCGTGCCCTCTGCAAATTTCATGCACGTTTTTGTTGACCATTCTTCCATGGCCTTGAGGATCATTGGCTTGTCAGGAGTGGGAGTGCTGAATGCATAGTTGACGGTGTTTTTTGGCCATTTCTCATGGATAAGAGGGCTGCTGTTTTCAGTGAGATATCCCGTTTTACCCCAGCGACCTTTCTGGGTAGATGAGAGAACCATATCCCCTTCAAAGACGATTTTTCGCACATCCTCGCCGTGCCAATTTCTCATTATTCTATCGGTTGACGTCAAGAACTTTTTCCGCGCATCTTCACATTTTTCTTTCTCCTCGTCACTGAAGATATTAACTGACCGCCCTTCAACCAAGCGAATTAACAGAAACGTGCACAAACAGCACTCAATATGCATGGTAAGCACAGCACCGGACGAATCCCATAAAGCTGCGACGGTGCACTAACTCTGCTCAGATTTCACTGCATTGACTAGACTTTTCAACAACCTTGAGTCAATTCTGGACGGATCGCCAGTGCCGTCACTGTGTCCGATTCTAGGGAGCGAAGTCTGCATGCGTCAAGCAGGTAAGAAGTGACCAGAGCAAGGACCAAAGCGAATTCGAATTTGCTGATTTCCGAAGAACGAAATTGACTGTTAGGGCAAAAAAACACGTGCGTTTTATCGGCACTCTTGATCTTCATGCGACTGATCCAAGAACGCGTTCTTCGCTGATTTTCACGGCATTGGTGCTCAGGCGCCATGCTTGTTTTATCTTGTTTTTGGATTTGTCCACGGAGATCCAAATGTCCAGCATAGATCTCCGCGTGAAATTTGGGAATCCGGGGAACAGTGCTTGGAGTTTTGCAGTATATGTGTGGAAGATATTGAGAATGTGTTTAGACAGACCCGGGAACGAGCATCTTTGAATGACGAAATGTTAAAATCAGTCTATTTTTGATGAACGTTACTTTGATCGCTACCACACCCGCCGCATACAGTGGGTACGCCACTTTCCGCCATGGTGATATGGTGACTTCCATGGATGTTGGTGAAAATCCGTAACTGTACGCACAAGAGCATCAAGATGTAGACTGGCGCCAATAAGCTTTCGAGGCTGGACAGGAAGTCATTCCACCGTAAATGAGGTCCTGTGGCTGGAGGAACCCAATTTTTCTGCTGCATCTTTGCTTTCTAACTTTGTTCTGTTTTTATTTGTTTCTGTCTTTCTGCTTCTGTTTTAATGTTGTTTCGTTTCCTCGTAGAAGAAATGAATTAAACAGGCTGTTGTCAATGCCGGATATATTTAATCATAGTCCCAAAACTTACCACAGGACCAGAGGGGACTCGGCTTTACTCTAAACACCTCATTCTGCTAATGTTTCCCATGCCCACGCGGCAATGGAACCGGTGCATTTCGAGACCCGAGGTGCTCAGACGGTGGCTGGCTACAGTAGACCACGGATTATTGGCACGCTAATGACGTAGAACGCCTTCCGAGAGCACAGGGGAGGAAATTTACAATTGTAGCGCGTTTTTCCCGTTAGATTTTGTGCCGGGTTTTAGGTAGGTACAACTACAGCAACAATAAAGACCCCTGCGCTCCAGTGCGCCTTATGTATCGGAGGTAAATTCTGGAACTATAGGCAGTGGGCGGTAGACCATCGCCATTTGGTCCTAATTCGGTAACACGTACGAAATACAACCAAGGAATCGGTTGCAGTATCTGATTTCTCTGATTTGTTATAAGGATTTAGCCCTAAGCTTTTGGCTGGATAGATGCCTGGGATCAGCGCCTTTGCTAGGTTGTCCTCGTTGGGTGAGCTCCGACACCATCTATCGATCGAAGAACGCCAGGTCAGTGGTATAATTTTACGGCGGGGACTTAAGGGAGTGTTCTACATTTCTTTGGGGTTTTGCAATGAAATAGCAATCTTGAAGATCATTTAGTGCAGTTCACAGCACGGCGCTACTCAGTACCTGAAACCAACGTGGAACTTTGCATCTCTTTTGGGGGAGGGGGATGGCTCTCCCAATGTTGAGCTAGACCCCAATGTTAGACCGGGGTCGCCCAAATTTGCCCCCCCCCCCCCAATAATTGTCTGAGGCACCACTATATTTTGCTCGGCCTTCACAATGTGGAGCCTGGCTCCCGATGCCATATCAGTTCTTCGAAGTAAAGATAATGTATAATTTTGTACCGACAAACAAATTAGCATTAGAGAAAGGCACTTACCATACAACACCAAATAACTTACGTAAAATGAAACCCACAAAAAGCTGCAATTTGTAAGTCTCTAAGCTCACAAAAAATGCTTTGTGCGTCATTGGGCTTTGCGACTTTTCTGAGACTCAATGGCTACGCCTGCCTCTCATCCTGGCAGAAATGGCGGGCACCGCAGGGAATCAAACCACACAGCGAATGGTTAAACGCAAAGTGATAATTTATACAGCTCGTCTAACTCGTAACGCTACAGGAGTGACATGTCATGGCGCGAATATTGAAATGTTGGTGGGGTTTGCAGAAAACGGCAAACCTGTCAGAATTTGTGGACTTTTGACGCGATATTCTTTCTTGAAGTAGAACATACGGCCAGCTCCCTGGGATGTGAGTAATATGTTTTGTGTTGTTAACATGGATAGCTTCAAATATTGCGCAATATGTTTCGAGTTCCTTGGAAGATCACACAAATTTCCTGCATTCTAATTGAGGTATGTGAGCCAGGCGATGCATCGACAATGTGAGTTCTAAGCCTCAACAAAGAATATTAGATATGATGCGTTCCCGGCACGGAAAAACGTCTTGGATTCGACCTATAATATATCTGTAGCATAACATAGCAATGGCTTGCAAAGAAACATGATGTACACTGAAAACTGCCTTCGACATCTTATACCGTAGATCCCTCTGAAGGATGCTGTGCGGACTCCACGATGTGACCTCTTTCTACAAGGTCTCATCTGAGACCAATTTGTCACTTCAGTAAATCATGAGGAGAGGCGGCCCTCTTGTGAAGACTTTGAGACTTCGCTAATTTTGCAGACTTCTCAGCGTGCCACCCTAAACACTTGGAGACTGTTCACGATTTTCACAAAGTTCTCAGCATATCGCCGCCAGCGACACCTACAATAAAGTTATGCATTTAACAATATGCTTGTGATTGAAAAGTGACGCTGTAACCAAGTCGCAGTGGGTTTGTTTAGCCTGAACATAAGCTTAATCACATGCAGTTTACAGTTTAGTCTTGTTGAAGCTCATGTAAGGTTTTACGAATTTTAGGACAAGTAATTTTCCACATGAAACTTTTATTGCGACTTTTTTGACAAGCAACAGCAAAAATTACACGGCATTCATCCAGCAGACGGCAAAATAATTACATTTGTTCTGATAAATTGATGATAAGAACAATGCTACTTTCATGCACTTTCCATTTGCCAAACAGCGACGCAATTTAAGCTAAACACTACACATTGAAGCAATTTTGTTCCATAAAAACAGCGTGAACTGAACTTTGGTGATTACACCTTTTTGCCGCGCTTGAACATTCTCGAACATCCTGCATTTCCGCCAACGTGTACCGCTTGCGGCCACCGGCTTCGGGAGGTGGAGGAATCGGAAGCACGTAATGGTAAGTCAATTTTTCCCGTCCTTAAGCTATGCTGTGCACTTTTGCTAAAGCTTTACAAATGTGACGCACCGGACTGATTGGCTGATGGCCGGGATGTCGTTCCAAAATCAGATGGACGGCAGCTGATATGTCGTGTGTTCGTTTTGGGAACAGGGTCGCTGCAATGATTTTGTGAGGAACCCGGAGCTCACTGCATACGTACCCCGCCTATTTTTCTCACTTATTCGACACCCTTCTGTCATTTGTAATGGAAAATGAAAAACTTGGGCCTGAGACAGAGGCCCGGCTCACCGACTGTCGCTTTTTGGGAAGAACCAAGGGTACATCGAATTTACGACATGCTTCATGTTTTGTGTTTCATGTATATCTTTCATGTATAATCTTTCAGCATTAATTTGCAATACTTAATATTACATCAAATAAGTTCGGGCCAAATAGAAATAGTACTCATCTACATTAGGCTACGAGCTAAGAGTTTCGTGCTTTGCTAACACGCTGTCTTGCAGGCGGGCTGTCCAATCGTGTGCTCGTTCCTGGTTCCAAAACTTTCTGCGAGTCTTGTTAGAACTAGCTTTTGGCCACGGTTTTGAAGGCTTACTCTTTTGTATCATGCTCAATATTTCTGCGGAGTTTACGGCTCGAGAATCAGCGACAGCGGACACGGAGCAGCCCTGGGGTCTTCGCTAAACTGAGAAGTACTACGATGGCGGCACCAGCTGAGCGCTGAATATTTTATTGTTTTCTGAATCAGTTCCATTTTATCATCTCCCCGCATTAATATTTGTTTTACGTCATTAGATACATCGCACAAGGGCAGTAATATAATTATCTGCATATCTGCATGGGAGGGGGGCATGGGGCCACACCCTGCCTCTTGGGGCTCAACGAGGTTTTGCTGCCTTGAGGGAGCATCAAAATCACAGGTTGGCCGGGCACCAAAACCTTCATTTCAGAGCACTGTAACATTTATTTTGGGGGTAATCCGTTCCAGATGGCGTCACACAGGCCCCACACCTTTATCATCAGGACGCATCACATTCCAGAGACGCATTAATGTTTTGTCTCCCAATTTGACGAATTCCTGGATCGGCCGCTGGGGAGAGTGGGCACCAGAGCTTTCTTTCCTTCTGATTTCTGAATGAAATATTTATGAGCACCACAACTTTCATTTTCATGAGGCAACAAATCAAAGTGGACCATTTAAAGGGTCCAAAGCCTTTGTTTTTAAGGGGACCTAAATCCAAGGGCACCACAATTCTTCACCGTTCACGCTGACAAAATGCTGTATTTGTCCGGTTGGTGGAGAGGCTCCAGAATCTTCGTTTAGGGGCATCGTGAACTTTGTATTCCAGAGTTGCCCAATTCCAGGTAGCACTAAAACGAGCCCGAAGTGTTTCATTTTCAAGTGGCAACAAACTCTAAGGAACGCCATCATGCCCGTGTCCTTCCAATGCCTAAATCCTTGGACGGCCATTCGGCGAAGAAGCACTAAAACATTGAATTCGGAGTACCATAACAGTTGTCTTCTACAGGCACCAAATTTAAGCGGACCATTAAAAGGACCGCGAAGTCTTGATTTCGGGTGGCACCAAATATAAGGGCACAACAATATTTTTGCCTTCCACGCTGACGAAAACCTTGATCAGCCCTCTCGGTGCAGGGCACCAAAAGCTTTCCTTTTGGGGCATCGTATAATCTTGATTTGCAGAGGGCACTCAGTTACACCTAGCCTAACCCTACCCGCAAAATCCCAGTAAGAGGGCCTGTTACATCGGTCGCGGCTCCTGTGACAGTGGAGTCCTCAATCAGCTGACTGAGACCACCAATACCGAACAGCCGATTCCGTGCCGGTCAAGGCCCCATGAGACCCTTTCTCAAGCATAGGCAAGGGCAAGCCTGCAAACGTCAATCAGAAGGCCCCTTGCATTAGCCGGTCCCCTGAAAACGGTGGAGGGTTACCTGTGGTGGGCGAGGATCACAGTGCCTAACAGGGGACTCTGTGTCGACAACGTGCCCAAAGTCGACCAGTGGCACATTTCCTGAGCAGGGACAGCTACGGAACCCCAAATGTCAAAAGGCCTCTGGCGTTGGTTCGGGACCGTTTCACAATGAAGACACATGAGCAATGACCATGAAAGGTTTCACTTTACATTGAGACAGTAGAAGTGCCCCGTGTCAGTCAGAGGTCACAGTAGCGAGCGAGGGTCCCTCTACACTGTTTCAAGCAGGGGACGGTAAGCCGAGCTGATGTCCCTTTGCCAGCTATTGGACTTCACACGCTAGTAATGGGTCCTTTGCGTCAGTAACGGCCACTGCGGCGTCAATCTATTGCCAGTTCCCCCGATCGGAGGATCTGTCACACCAGAAGAGGGACCCGCGCAGCGCACATTATATATAGGTATGTCGTGACCGTGTAGTCAAAGCTTTCTCAACGCTTTTTCCCCAAACTTTCCCATACGCATACCGTTTTTGGGGGGCATCGGGCCACGTTCTATGGGAAGCAAAAACATCCTGTTCTTTGTTCACAATGGCTGGAATTACTAAGATGTTTCTTTGCTGTGAATTACACTCCATTCTAAGCTTTTCACACAACTTTCGTTTCACATTTCCTTGCAGTGGAAAGTCATCCCTACATGGTAAAAACCAAATGGGAGCGAACAACCTATGCCATTTTGTGTTATAGGCCCGAAAAATTAAGGCAGCCGATATCTCCGGGAGATATCACTTTTTGATCTTTGGCTGACCCTACCACCTTAGCCCCCAAGCCGTTTAAGAAAGTGACACGGCACCCCTGGTCCCCCATAATGCAGATGGTGTTAAATAGCTAAAATAGTTGAACTGTGGTGAGGGTCCCACCAACTGACAGGTTAACATGTTAGCCAAGGCTTTGATCGCATGTGTGTTTTCGGTAAGCTTCATGCAATGGGTCATTTGTCAGAAAGGTTCTTTCAAGAAGTCAACTGCTTCATTTGCTTCGGAGCGCAGGACGGCAGGACAACAAAAGCACGACGACAGCGATTTTCACGATTTCCTCAGGGAGGGATGATATTTTCCTTCTGGGATAGGTATGCTAATTCGTAGACATACTGACTGGCACTGCACTAACCACGTCGCATGACGTAGCTCTACACGCCGTAAATCGTCGTAACAAACTCTCTGGACCATGGAGAATGCGTCTCATGTTTCGACTGCAACTTAGACTCCGACACATCAAACCGGTGTACACGATATCCATAACGACAGGGAACCCGCCCGGTCCTCAGCTCGTCCAGTTATTTAGGCCCAGCCAGGAGGATGGCGCGTAGTGCGTGTCGCTGCATCTGCGTCAGCCGTCGGGGAAAGTCGACCTCAAACTTGATGATCAGGTCGCCGTGCGGGTGACGGCGACCCGGGGGAGGCGGACGGCCGCCGGTCGGCAGCGGCGGCGGCCCCGGTACCGGCATACCCTCCCCGCGCACCACCTTTTTAAAGCCAGGGAAGACCACGTCGTGAACGCTAACGTGTAACAGCCGTCCGTCCAGGGTCTCGACGTCCACGCTGCAGCCGGTAAGCGCGTGTACCAGCGGCACGCGCATCAGGTACACCAGATCGTGGCCGTCGCGTTCGAACTGCGCGTGGGCGGCGTCCTCCAGCACGAACACGAGGTCGCCGGGGATGATGTTGGGACCCTGATCGCCCTCCTCGCGGAAGGTGATCGTTTTGCCGGCAGGCCAACCAGGCTCAATGTGCAGTGTGAGAATCTTCTCGCAGAGGGTGGTATTGGTGCCACTGTCGTCCAGCACGCGTCGGCTGACGCGCACCTTCTTCAGGCAACCGGTGTAGAGCTCCTGCAGGCTTAGCACCAGTGGCGTCACCAGGTCCGGCGCCTTTTTGCGCTGGCACGTGCCGTCGTCACCCTGGTAGTGCGAAAGCGGCTTTTTGATGTTGTCGATTATGTCTGCATAGGGGCTGTTGGTGCCGAAGAATTCGCGGAACGTCTCCTCCGGTTCGCCGCAGTAGACGTATGGGTCGTAGAATCCTCCTTCCGGGCGCGGCACGCCCCGCTTCAAGCCAGCCTCACCGTACTGGTCGTATATCGTTCGGTACAGGGACGAGCTCAAGACGTCGTAGGCCTCACATAGCTGCTGAAATCGCTGAGGTTCCTTTTCGAAGTGATCCCGATTGCGCACTGGGTGGTATTTCAAAGCTAGCCGCCGGTAAGATTCTTTGATTTCCCTGTCGGAGGCATGCTTTTCTATCTCCAATACGCCATAATAGTCGATGCCAGCGCTGCTGAAGTCACGCATCGTGACCCAGATAGATCAAATTTTCATCCGTAATTTTTCAATTCGAAGGTAGCCAATGTGGTGAATCCGTAGTAAATATTCCGGTTACAGATGAATGAAAGCCCCGAAATCGGAAAAGGTTTGTTACATCCCGCTTATGTCGCACAGTAGATATTCTTTCTCACTCACCTTAGCGAGTAAAATAAACTGTCGCCGTTCGTGTCACGTACATGTGCCACTTCTTCTCAGCGGATTCGTAAGCAATAAAATAATCTACATTCATCCCAGTTGAATATTCTACCGGTAAATCGATGCGAATCTCCGAATAGAGACTGAAAAGACAGCCAGGTATACAGCACGGGCACCTTTGACAATTTATAAATGAAATGGGGCACAACAGAAATGCCTTGCCGGGTGTCGATTTCATTTTTGCGAGGGCCCTGCCCCCTCCCTCAATGTTGAGTTTCTCCCACCGTTGACTCGGGGCCTCAATACTTTTGGCTGGAATGCTACAAACACGTGGTAAAAAGTTGACCAGCACACAAAGACTATCTTCTTTGATCTCTCCTCGTTGTCGCGTCGCCATGAGGGATGCACCGGGTAATTGGAATCTGTAACTTCAAAATTATTTCCTCAAATAAGGACGGTTACTTAACACGCGTTCGGGTGTCCGGCTAGATTCCCTTCGCTCGGGCGTGGGAGGGGGATCAATTTGACCACCCTGAGATCTCGGGAACTAAGAAAGCTAGAAACATCAAATTTAGAGAGTGTGTTGACCGGTACGTGAACTCTCTTAGGTCAAAGTTTCAGGTTCCTAGGTTATGACCTTTGGGTCAAAAAAGGTCAAACAAAGTCAAGTTCCAGGTTGGTCTTCAAAGTGCCCCCAGAGTGTAGATAGATAGAGTTTAGATAGTAGATAGAGTTTCAGATAGTAGATAGAGTTTCTAAGCAAAAGGTCACATTCTCATTTAAGGTCAGTGACCTTGTTTGATCTTTTGAAGGTCAAAGTGTCCAAAATCATACAAGATTACTTTGAGTTTTGCATTTGACTAAGCGACCAAGATTACGCTAGGCAGCATGTTCCTAAAACAAAATGTTGACCTAGCTCATTTTAGGTCAATTACTTTTTCTGACCTCTAAGAAGTCCATGGAAGGTGTATAATGCGGTTCCTGCTATCAATGAATTCGAAATGAGCATCAGAAACTATCCCATACAGCAAATCCTAGAGTAATAAAACAGGTTGGTTTGACCTTGGTGTGACCTTGATACCTGACCTTAGGTCAAACTTATTTGCTCATTCAATATTGGCGTTGCCTAAGAAAGCATCTCAAAGATGCATGGCTTCGTCTAACACTCCGTTGTTGCATCACATTAAACGATTCCCTAGAAAATGACTTCTCTGAAACTATGGTCTGACTTTAAACCTATCATAGGTCAGCGACCATACAAGGTACATCTAAATTTTTGATTGGAACCGATCCGATATTCAATTGTCTACAGCTATGCAAAATTTGGCGCGGCTACGCGCGCCGTTCGGAAACCATTCTGGAAAAAAAACCTTTGGGGAGAGGGGGGGGGGGGGGTTAATCTGACCCTCCCACCCGAGCGCGTATTGAGCCATTGAGGGTAAACCATTTTATATTTGACTTTTTTAGACGTTTAACGGAAGCCAAGGCACTCTTTCCCGTAACATAAACATGATATCGACGCCACTAATTTAGCGATCTCGTGGAGACCGTTCTATGCCAAGCGGCATTTGGTCTTCTATCTGTGCTGGGCTACTGGTCCAATATGGCTAACTTGATGCTGAGGCCCGAATTGCTTTGCTGTACCTCATGAGAGAACAAAATCGGGTAAAATTTCCTTGGGGGCATCGTTGGCTCAGTTTACAGGTCCAGTTCAGCTACAAAACGAGCAACAATATACAGGTGACAAGTTTTGTCAGGACGAATTTTTAAACTGATTCCATGCTTAACATAAGTTATTCGCAGCATTCGGAGCTAACGCCATCCCATTACTGCAATGCACGTTCGACGTATCCATTTTGCCTCAGCCCCTTTTCCCAATAGCACCAAAGGACCTTTACCGTGGCATGCGACTACACGACTGTCGGACGCCCTGTGACCAGGCTGACACTGTCAAAACATCGGCCAAATGGTCTTCTTTGACCAGCCCTGTACGAATGCTGGAAGGCGAACCCTCCACCACGCGTTTCGCTACACCACGAATGTGGCCACTACGACTTCAGCGCTCTACCGAAGTTGGACTTTTGCCACGATGATTGGTATATTCACGCGGCAATATACGTTCTTTTTTTAGGGGGGACGGGGATTTTACGCATTGCAGCCAACGGGTTTGGAGAAAAAAGCGATGTCCTTGAATGGTCACCTTACAAACTATTTTTGTCAAAAGATATCACCTGTGACCTGGAAAGTAGCCATGCGTATCTAGGCTCGGATGCATAGATCACATCTTTAAGTGAACCAGTGGTATCATTTCTAACATCACTAACGCTTTTCTATGCAGTGTTGGGGTAAGTTTGAGTTTCACTTGTAATCCTGGTTTTAATCCATTGCAGGAAATTCAACGATTCGGGATTAACTCAGACTTTTCTACTGCGAGGGAGAGGTGCATACCATGTGCAGGAGAAAATGATATTACTTAATGCGGCGCAATGTTAAGCATTTAACTCAAACTTATCTTGTAAGGCGGTCACTTTATTAAGGTTATTGCTTTGTTATGCTGATGAAGAACTAGCCCACATTAACTCAAAAAAGCTTGCATCATATTACACGCATAACGAAAATTTGCACATGCCTCAGCTGCGCAACAGCAAGTTGATGGTTAGGAAGCACGAGGTGGTCCTATTAGTGGCAAATGTTTTTTTCAATACTGCACAGTTACAACAAACTCATCGGTGCCGTTGTTTTTATAGCGCATTGTTATGCATGTAATTGAAGCAGTTTACTTTAAGCCTCAATCCCATGCATATATTGGTCTATGTGTCTTGTTCGTTATAAGTTTTTAAACACCCTGAACATTATTGAGGTATATTAATTAGCATTGTGTTGTTGATTTCAGTTGTTGGTACCATGTCGTTATTGAATTAAAATATGTGGTGCAACGCCAACTTTCGACAAAAAATTTCGCACGCCCCGCGTGTTACGCAAAATTATACCTTAAATAAAACAGTACTGTTTTACATGGGGTAGCATTCTCTCTATCAAGGGCAAAAAAGTAAGTTGTGAGCTTTGTGGATTGAGTTGGCCCCCACACACCCTATCGGGGTACGTTTTTGTGGTCGGATATTTAACGTCTCAGAGACACAAAACATGTATGTTTATTGTATCAAGCAGTGCACGCACTAACACAAGAACACCCCTCCCTCGCACAACGTTGTGTTTGGTCTCACCGTCAAATAAACAACATTACTGCCAATTGAATAAGTGGTGCAATTAATTTAACGCCCGCTCGGGTGGGGTCACTTTGACCACCGAAGGTTTTTCTAGAATTACTTCAGAACGGCGCGGCGTAGCTGCGCCCATCACTGCATGGCTCACCGCGACTCCGCATGTAGAGGGTTGAATAGCGGATCTTTTGATGTAAAAAGTAGATGTACCTGTACCTTGCACCTCACTGAGACCGCTTCACGGCAGCCCTGACGCCGCCACCACCGCGAGGGAGGGCACGGGTCACGGGAACCCCGCGCTACAGCACACCACGAGCTGCCGGCAGGGCGTCACCGGGATCCCACTCCAGCAGGCTGTATAATGTTGGCAGGGTGTCACTGGAACCCCGCCACAGCACGCCGCGAGCTGCCGGCAGGGCGTCACCGGGATCCCACTCCAGCAGGCTGTATAATGTTGGCAGGGTGTCACTGGAACACCGCCACAGCACGCCACGAGCTACCGGCAGAGCGTCACTGGGATCCCACTCCAGCAGGCTGTATAATGTTGGCAGGGTGTCACTGGAACACCGCCACAGCACGCCACGAGCTACCGGCAGAGCGTCACTGGGATCCCATTCCAGCAGGCTGTATACTGTTGGCAGGGTGTCACTGGAACCCCGCCACAGCACGCCGCGAGCTGCCGGCAGAGCGTCACTGGGATCCCACTCCAGCAGGCTGCATACTGTTGGCAGGGTGTCACTGGGACCCCGCCACAGCACGCCGCGAGCTGCCGGCAGAGCGTCACTGGGATCCCACTCCAGCAGGCTGTATACTGTTGGCAGGGTGTCACTGGGACCCGCCACAGCACGCCGCGAGCTGCCGGCAGGGTGCCTCGTCGTCAGCATGTAGCACAAACACGATAGATGAGTACGCCAGTGGTTTATGAGCGTATGACCATGTTTAGCTGGGCAGGGTAGATGTCACAAAGCTAATGCGTGGTGAACCCGAGCACATATTGCACAAGTGAAGATTGGTGATTGATTGCACAAGCATTTTTGCATGGCCTTTGGTGGGTAAAATTCTTCCAAAGTTTATTTTTTCTAGATCTTTAAGCTTTGAAGTCGCAGACAGAAACTGACAAAAATAAAGCTAGCTATTTCTGGAAGTATCCATTGTTCCGATTATTCCGATCTCATCTAAAGAACATAAGTGCCTGCCAAGCCCAAATATTTGGTGGAGAAAAACCTTAATCAGAGTGCTTCATTTTCGTAACTGCTTGCGGCGTGCGCAGTTGCGTGGGAGAGAGTGCGATGGGCTGTATCATAAATAGCATCAGCGTGATTTATTAGAAATATATAAGACGAATGGCAGTCTTGAGTCACTCAGCTGACGCACATGTACTTCCGGCTGCATGCGTAAACGCGTTTTGGAGTGAGCACGGAAACTATTTTTTACTTTGTACATCTCAGAAAACTATGACGATTACTGCAAAGGAGTGTTTATGGGCTTACCGCATAACTGGAAAAGCCTGGATACTATACTGAGCGATATGGAAGTAGATGTGCCGTACATACTGCAAAGCATCTGGGATCCCTCAGTCAAAGTTTTTTTCGGGGCGACGTAGACTTTTTTGCAAGATGTCAGCTGGTACAGGCTGCCTCAGCAGTACACAAGGCGTGTTGTATCGTTAATACAACGCACCGACAATGTGTCATTGGCTGACTTACCGTCAGTGATCGACTGACATGGCCGGCTTGACTTATAATCAATCGAACAGCAGGTTGA